CATCTACTCATCTCCTCATCCTAACACATCTATATACGTACTCAACATCACATCCACAAACATCCATCANTATATATTATATATAATATAATTTATATATACACATACATACATGGAACTGGAGTATTGAAAATAATTTCGAGTAGTAGAAACCATGAATGCATTCATATTTTGGAATGATAGGAAATGGAACCCGATATTTCACCCTTTGAACAATTTCATGCCATTTAGTAGTTTTGAAAGATGTTATTGTGTAGTTAGCATGTGCATTTTCCTGTTCTTTCGTGCTTCTCTTTCGTGCTTTTGTTCATCATTTTTTTGGGGAAAATATGTACAAATGTTTCTTTTTGTAGGTACGCACGCATACATAGATGCATTACACACACACAAACATCACACCACAACACACACACACAACCACAAAAATATATGTGTGCATATATACATACATACATACATATATATATATGAAGGGGGATAAGTTCATACTTAAACTCTCTCACTGATGGACGGAGAGACAAGATCTATGTTTATTATATGAACGATTAAATGATCTTTTGTTCTCTGTTGGCTGATCTTTGTAAGGATATGATAAACAAAGTTTTAATTAGCATTTATTTGCTCAAAAAATACACATACACATACGACTGACACACACGAAAATATGACACACAACACGGGGGGCACAAAGTGACACACAACACGGGGGGCACAAAGTGACACACAACACGGGGGGCACAAAGTGACACACAACACGGGGGGCACAAAGTGACACACAACACGGGGCACAAAGTGACACACACAACACGGGGGGCACAAAGTGACACACCAACACGGGGGGCACAAAGACACACAACACGGGGGGCACAAAGTGACACACAACACGGGGGGCACAAAGTGACACACAACACGGGGGGCACAAAGTGACACACAACACTTAAACACTTAGTCACTGCCACGAGCGGCACACTGACGTTCACTGCCACGAGCGGTACACTGACGTTCACTGCCACGAGCGTACACTGACGTTTTGTACACTGCCACGAGTGGTACACTGACGTTCACACATGGTAATACTGGTATCGGACGTAGTCACTACACTGTTTGTGCACTATACACGTAGTTCATCCGATTTATCCGTTCCCACGGATGATACAGGACGGGTGAGGGTATTCACGGCATCGACAACGTGCGTGGGGCCGAGAAAACGTCAGTGGATCGTGCGTTACAGGCTCCACGTGTCCACGCCTACTTAGACACGTACTGTGGGCCTGCCCGTACTCCGTCTTCGTTGGATGTGTTCCACTCGCCCACACACGCCCACACACCCCGGGCCTCTCTGCCGGTATTCCTTGGCGATGATGGGCGGCGCCCAAGGTCCCTAAAACACCAAAGAAACACCGTGTACTGTTTGTCGGGCTGGTATACCTCGCCCATATGATTCATTTCTACACATTTGTTATATCATTCAATGGTATTATCTTACCGAGGAATATGAATGTAGGGAATGTGGTATCGTCCTTTACAATTATACCCAAGAGCAGGTTAGATCGTCTTCTCGGTTCGGCAGTCAGGGCAGCAAGACCTTTTCCTTGTCTTACTACCTTCACGGCGACATGCCTACGCTGCCCTCGGGTCACCACTCCCTCATTCAGCATTGTTTACGCTCGGTAATTGTTCTATTTGAGGTAACCATTCGTGTTGTAGGCACTTATTTTCTGTGTTTTACGTTATGGTGAAATGTCACCAATGATAAATCTCAACATAAGCATATAAAGATTACAAACAAATATAGACATTCATCCTTTCGCGCGCACATTCATGCTAATTTTGGTCATTGGGTAGTTTGCCCAGTCAACATTCACCTCATTCATACTCTACTGAACCTTTAAATCTTATTTTCTATTTCCTTTCTTTCGCATTTTCCTCCCATTACAATTCTCCCATCCAACTTTCGCAGCTCAGCTCCACTCTGAGCTCCACATTTTCCGCAGGAACACATCTATCTACGCAAATGAATATAATATACGAGCCTACCACTTCCGTATAATTCGTACGGCGTCAGCAACGAGCCTACCACTTCCGTATAATTCGTACGGCGTCAGCTGTACATTATCTATTCACAAAATGTTACTCTCGTATACCGTTTCATTTACAACATCATCATCTAGCCTTTCTGTACTTACGAACTAAGGGACTAAATTTTACTCTTATTTGTGGCACACATCGACCTTATTTACACGAGGGGACCGATGGCATAACGGAAATTCCAACCTTAGTTAAATGCGGGGATTGGCCCGTTATGCTCATATGCACCTGAATATTATAGTTACCCCATCTAACCGCACACGGGGACACGTCACATCCTTAATCGTAAATTAGTAGCTATGTCGTCCTTGTAAAAGTTTCCTTGCATACGATCAGTACATTTCTTCACATCTTTATTTCACATTCAATTATCCTTATCTTTATTTCACATTCAATTATCCTTAAGTGTACCGTACTACTCGTCAAACAAGCACGCGCAAACACACGCAAACGCACACAAACACCATTTCACTCGTCTTACACTAAAGATGGAAGGAGTAGATATAGTCAGAGGGAGAAGGAAGAATTAGCTCAAGTAAGGCAGAGGACGCCAACCCTCATTCAGGATAGAACCCTGCTTTCACCCGTTACCGTGCTTAATTGACATGACGGTGGGAAGTACGACCACGCCTTCGGGGACCCATCCCTCATCGAGACCCGTGAGAGGTTCGATCACAACCTCTCGAACTTTCGTCTGCCGGAGAGACGGTACCCAAACTGGTATCAGTCTTGTACTATGGGGGGGTATAATCGGTAATTGAGACTGTTTAGTGAGTGCGTACCCCCAGTCTTCTTGCTTTCTAAATTTATGAGCGTCTCCTACTTTTCCCATACATTCAACGAGGGATTCATTTTTCTCCGCGTTACTCATACGATGCATTTCTGTCCATACCTCTGTTAATTCAGATAATATGTTCATCCCCAGGATACAGTCGTATGGACCCTTGACTTCATCGCACACTAGTAGTCCCGCGTTCTTGACTATGGTTCCCGAGATCTCTACATCGACTGTAATATACCCCTTACTTCTCGTTAGTCGTCCCCCGAATGACCGTAATTTCATTGTCGTTGGACGTAACTCTACATTATTAATCTTACGTAAGTCTTCGTATATTCCGGTGCTTACAAGGGAAACTTCTGATCCCGTATCGCATAAACTGATGAGCTCGACGCCTCCTACCTTGATCGTTATTTTGGGGCATTGAGAATGCAACTTTATATGTCTACTTACGGGAAAAACGTTCCGTTCACTTCCGCCAACGCCTCTTTCTACTGATTTGTGGGGCTCCTGTGGGTGGCGGATCGCTGTCCCACAGGGCCCTCCGAGTTTCCCACATTACGTTCATTTACCCTTCGGTCGTCTTCAATCCTTCCAGATGCCCTCATCCTTGGGCACCACCGGGAGATATGTCCAATCTCGCCACAACTGAAACATTTAATGTTATTTCTTTCTCTCGCATTCATTCCCCATTCTCTCTCTCGTGGTTTCCTTCCTTGCAAGCCACATTACGCCGATTGAAGCACCTCCATTCTCTCTCTTTCATAGCTACCCATTCTACCCATTGTTCCAGAGAATCATCTGGCTTCTCTTCCATCCTTTTATTCATTTTCACGCCTAGCGATGGTTCAGTCATGTTCCTGGCCATACATTCTCCTATCAGTCTCTTGTCCACACCTCGCTGATTTTGGAATTCATCACTAACTTCTAGTAATGCGTCTAGGAACTCCCATACAGTCTCTTCACTCTTTTGTTTCCTGACAGACATACGCTCATACAACTCCCACACTGATACACTCCGACCATACACTTTCATCAGTTCTTCAAACACATCACTCACATTCCTCCATTCGCGTCACAATTAAACAACCTTTCAGCCGCGGCGCCCTCTACATGGTTTAGCACGAACCTTACTTTGTCATCTTCATCTGATCTGCGAAAGTACTCGCTCTACTTTTCTAATCCAACTTTTCACCATCCCCTTTCCATTGAAAGTCTCTATTTTTGGATCGCTACGTACTATCAATGACTTTTTGAGTTGGCGACTCTGACTTGCAACTAAATCTTCTATTATGCTAAGTGTCCTGTCCCATGGATCACGCTCTTCTAAACCACTCGAACACGCGTCTGGCGCGCCTCTCATGAACGCGGCGTTCCTCGCAATCGGGCTAGCACACCTCCCATTGTACCCTTTCACTTCTTTGTATATGAAGTACACAAGTAATGCTGCTAATAAGATGATTATTAATCCTAGCAACGCGAAGATGTGTTCCTCGGACTTCATAATTGTCTCCATATCTACTTACAAAAATCAGCACTTAAGAGAACCACGCTCTGCTACCATTTGAAGGGGGATAAGTTCATACTTAAACTCTCTCACTGATGGACGGAGAGACAAGATCTATGTTTATTATATGAACGATTAAATGATCTTTTGTTCTCTGTTGGCTGATCTTTGTAAGGATATGATAAACAAAGTTTTAATTAGCATTTATTTGCTCAAAAAATACACATACACATACGACTGACAACACGAAAAATATGACACACAACACGGGGGGCACAAAGTGACACACAACACGGGGGCACAAAGTGACACACAACACGGGGGCACAAAGTGACACACAACACGGGGGCACAAAGTGACACACAACACGGGGGCACACAAAGTGACACACAAACACGGGGGGCACAAAGTGACACACACACACGGGGGGCACGTGACACACAACACGGGGGCACAAAGTGACACACAACACGGGGGGCACAAAGTGACACACAACACGGGGGGCACAAAGTGACACACAACACGGGGGGCACAAAGTGACACACAACACGCACAAAGTGACACACAACACACGTCACTGCCACGAGCGGCACACTGACGTCACTGCCACGAACACTGACACACGAG